CGGAAGAGTACCAGCCTTTAAATCCCAGGTCTTTAAATCTCGGGCTACCAGCTGCAGAGGCGGCTGGGTGTCCCGGAGCTCGGGGGTGATTTAAAGGGCCTAGGGCTCCGTCCACCGCTACCGCAGTGGAGCCCCGGCCCCTTTAAATCAACGACAGAGCCCCAGGGGCTCTCTGCTGCCTCCGCTACCCCGGGGCTTAGGGCTTTGGTGGAGATTTAAAGGGCCTGGGGCTCCCTGCATCGGCTGGAGCCCGGGCTCTTGAAATCGCTGTCCGAGCCCCCTGCCAGAGCCCCCGGTGTAGCGGCGGCGGCCAGGGGCTTCGGTGGGGATTTAAAGAGCCCTTTAAATCATGGCCTGAGCTGCCTCCGCTACCCAGGGGCTCTGGCTGCTGCCAGGAGTCCTAGACCCTTTAAATGGCCAGCCTCGGGAAGCCGGTCTGGTATGGCATGGTGTACCGGCTCTTGCCGTTATATTGGACCAGACCGGACCGCCTTACTTTCACCTCTGCCTACATCTCATGCAAAATACCCTCACAAGCTGCCTGGAACGACAGTCGCATGGAAAGATCCTGACATGGACTCATAAGCAAGGGAAACTTCTGGAGGTGTATTTTGTGGCAAGGATAACAAAGAAAGAAGAATATCCCAGTTTCTAGGTCACTTATAATTAGGCACTCTGAAATTTTAAACGAGTGCAAATATATATTCTTTTCCTGCACTGTGAAAAGATTTTCAGATCATTTTACTGGATTCGTAAAAGTGTCTTTATGTTGATCCATTTATATTTATTTACAATATTAATGTATTGCTTTTATTTATTTTTTCAGAGGTTTTATAATATTTATAAATAAATATTTATTTCTACAAAATAGCAACCTACAGCAGTAGTGATTTGTACGAATTAGATTTTAAAAAAAACAGAGACTCAATAAAAATCTTCTCTTGTTTTACCTTAAGACTCCAGTTCAGCAAAGGACTTGTAAACATTTGCCTAACTTTAAGTACACGAGCTTTCCTTTGACATAAGCAGTTAAACTTGACAACATGCTCAAGTACATTGTGAACATAAACCCTGATTCAGCAGTGACTCCATAAGAAAAATAGCTTGGGTAATTAGTTTGACCACTCCAACAGACCACACACCACAACCTCAACTCCGCAGCTTTTGTGTTTCTGCCCATTACCAGATTATTTTCACGCACAACATTTGTAGTTGCAGATATTTGGAGCAGTAGTTCATTGTGATGAAATGAAAGGGATGATGGAGACACAGGAATTCTAAGGGGAAGACTTCAGGTTGTCGTGGTACAAAGTTGCTTGTCCCCTTCCTCCCCAATGAGATGTGTGCGAACCGTCAGGTTTCCATGTGCACAGACTCCGTATCTCCCCCACCACCACCATCAGGAAGGGTTATGTGGGTCTAATTTTCCCCTTCCAT